AGCCTTCTCACCTCTGAGTCTGCAGCTTATTATGACTTGTTTACCATTCCAGCCCAAGGCTCGTTCCTTTGTTCCCACAGTCGGGGGCCTGCATATCTCACCATTTCCCTTACATGATAGCTGCTGTTAGACCCTAAAATACTAAGAGGCAGTGGCTTGGGCAACATTATCGTACCAGCCCCATAATATTAGGGAGCTTTCTAAAGAGAAGATGGTCAATTACCGTGAGAGAAAAAAGGAGAGAGCAAGAAGTCTACTTTATTATGTTATAATTGCTCATACAGTGAATAACCTAAGCAAATCTAGGTGCACATTATTTAATTTTACAAAAAGCACAAACAAGGCAAAGTAACAATTAACCAGCTTTACTTTTATTCCAGCACTTTGTGATCCCAAATATTATCCTGTGGGATTTTTTCACATTTCTGCAAAAAATTCTATTCCAATGCCATGTTGCCTTGTTCTGTAGCAAAAGGAAAATCATATCGGCTTTTCAATTTGTTTACAAATAACATACTCTTAACACTGAACAATAATAAATGTGACATACATGCTATTAATAAACTTAGACTCTGAAGCAAAATAAACTTTCAATTAAAAGCAACATTTGAAAAAGCAATTAAAAAAAGACCTACAAATTACTCATGTACAACAACAACAACAACAACAAAACAATAAAATTGATACTTTGTCCCCTGGACCCGTACTACCATGCACTACTTAGACGCTTGGCTGATCTCTTAAACACAAAGTGAACAAGCTGCCCCGGCTTCCCTAGACCTGGGAGGAGCTGCAGGACTTGGCCTTGGAACATGCAAGGGCCTTGGCACGCGCTGCAGCCCTTACTGCAGCTCTCACCCCAGCTCTCTCCTGCTCATCTTTCAGAGCCTCCTCATACAGCTTGGGGAAGGCCCTGGGGACCGTACCATTGATCTTGGCCACAACCTCCAGCACTTTCATCTTGGTGGTTTCAGCGTGGGCCTTCGGGCCCCACAGGAACTCATAGCGGGGAGGATCGCTGTCGGGCACCTGGCGGTACTCGAGGTACTTCTGCTGCACCAGATCTTTGGTGATGAGCCTCCTGGGCTCCCCAAAGATCAAGTGCCTCTT